TAAACGTTAAAACAACACAATTACACTAATTAGTTATACCAATTAATTACAATTACCTTATACTACATCAAACAGTTACTTATATGCTATAATAAAACAAACAGTTACGCTAAATAATTATACGAAATTATAACACCAACTCAATTTGTCATTCATTTATTTATATAAATCAAAGAGTTATACCAATTATATACATCAAATTAGGTTTATCATTACACAAAAGACTTTACCGTTATATTAAATTTGGTATATATAATTGGTGTAATGATACTGCGTTATTAAATGGTGCAACTATTTAGTTTTTGTAAACTACTAAATGATAAATTTAGTTGGTATTATAATTTTGTGTAATTGTTAAGTGTAACTGTTTAGTTTATTAGATGAGTTAGTATTAGTTTATTAGAACGCATGGTAATGTTTGGTCTATTATAAGATAATTGTAATTGATTGATATAACTGATTAGTGTAATTGTTTTGTTGTAATGTTGACATAAGTATAGAGAGAGAAATTAGGGACAGAGAAAGGAATGGTTAGAGAAAATAAGAGGATACAGAGAGAGAATATAAGAGATAGATGAAAACATAAATCAAATATTTACATATTTGAAAAGAAAATAAATTATCAATGATAGATAGAGAGAGAAAATACGGGAGAGATGGGGAAAGTAATGGGGAGAGAAAGAGACATTGAGAGAAAATAGGAGAGAAATAGTGATAGAGTCTAATAAAATCTTTACATATTTGATTAGATATATAACTCTTAATCAAGAATGCATAACTTAAGGGAGGATATTTAGCTAAAAAAGTTTTGATTTCATTTGAAAGTTGTACTTAAACACAATATGTTTTATTAAAATTGAATGTAATAGAGTAAATAACTTATCCATATACTTTTTTTCAAATAAATCTAAAAAATTATACCTACACCCAAAAAAAAACCCAACTATAAATATCATTACAAAGTTCAATCCCGGGCAGCACATGGGCAAGTGGGATGGAAATATGGAATATAACATATAATATAGGGTTCTTTGGAAGTCGGTATACCTAATTAGACTTATTTGACAAAAATTACATAGAACAAAATATTTTAGAAAAAAGTACACAGTTGAGTTACAAAGACATAAATGCCCCTTTTAGAGTCATTTAATTCAAAATCTCTTATCTTTAATACACTTTGATTCATGTGTGTTTGTTAATACATATAAATACGTATTTAATGCAACTTAATTTATGTGTATTTGTTAATACATATAAATATATAAATAAATATATATTCATATATACATATATATACGTATATATATATATATAAATTCATATATATACGTATATATATATATATATATATATGTTATTAAATCTTTTATTTAAATTGTGAATTATCTTTAATCCACCTTGATTCATGCGTATTTTTTTTTGAAAAGTGATTTTGTTTTCAAATTATATTTAATGCACCTTAATTTAAGTGTTTTTCTTTTTTTGGAAAATATTTTTATTTTAAAATTAATTTAATATCCGAATAATGTAATAGTATAACAATAATAATGTAACAAATATAATGTTTAGTAGTTTTGTGTATATGGTAACAAATTCAAAATGGAGNCACCTTAATTTAAGTGTTTTTCTTTTTTTGGAAAATATTTTTATTTTAAAATTAATTTAATATCCGAATAATGTAATAGTATAACAATAATAATGTAACAAATATAATGTTTAGTAGTTTTGTGTATATGGTAACAAATTCAAAATGGAGATAAACTATTTTGAATGAAATTATATGAAACTATATGTTTGACAAAATGTAATAGTACAATATTATGTGTAAATAGCTTGTTACACTGTTATTGTTAGTGTTACACTATTACACTTTTATTGTTACATTGTTATTGTTACACTGTTAAATTTTTATTGTTACACTATTATACTATTCAGATATTAAATTAATTTGAAAATAAAACTAATTTCTAAAAAAAAATGCATGAATCAAGGTACATTAAAAAATAATTCAAAATTTAGATAAGAGATTTAACAATAAGTATATACATACATACATACATAAGTATTTTTATATATATATATGTGTGTGTGTGTGTGTGTGTGTGTATCTATTAAAGTTCTCCCATAAAATTAGGAGATGTTTAATGTACCATTTTCGAAAGAAAAGTGGTGCATTAAATACACATGGATTAATAGAGGGCAAAAATGTTACAAAAAAATCAGTAAAATTCAAATAATGTACTTAGATACAAATAAATATCAAAATTAAGGACTTAATTATCCAACATTTTTTTTTATATACTTTTTTATATAATTAAGTTTAATTGGGTGCACCTCCTTCCAATTTTTCCAATAATTAATATGGGACGGTTCTCTTCTGGATTGGTACGTAGTTGGGCTTTTTCTTGAGGCCCAGTAGTTTCGATTATAATTTAAGTTTTCATCGGGCTAAGGTCCAATTCAGCAATAAAGTTAAGATTACAAAATTTGGAGGTCATTTTTTTGAGGTAGACTTATTTAGTGATAAGTTTATTAATAAAATTTGTTTACTATCAAGTCTATTTTAATTTTCATTGCATAAAATATTTATAGTAGTTATGTTTAATTAAAAAAATTTTAAAAATTAACAACTCTTAAATTTTAAAAGTTTGGTTAATATTGCAATTTTTTCCTTCATATCTATCCNTTATGTTTAATTAAAAAAATATTAAAAATTAACAACTCTTAAATTTTAAAAGTTTGGTTAATATTGCAATTTTTTCCTTCATATCTATCCATATTTATATACATAATAGGATTATTTATTTTTCTCTTTCTTTCATATATATATAGTAACATTAAAAAAAAAGTAANAGTTTGGTTAATATTGCAATTTTTTCCTTCATATCTATCCATATTTATATACATAATAGGATTATTTATTTTTCTCTTTCTTTCATATATATATATAGTAACATTAAAAAAAAGTAACATTTAAACACAAAAAATAGTACCATTTAAATACAAAAAAAGTAGTAATATTTAAACACAAAAAAATAATAATATTCAAAAACAAAAATAATAACATTGAATATTAATATTTGAGAAAATAACAGTCGCAACATGCTCAACGAAAACAATAACATGAGCAGTAAACATGATATATATAAAAAGAGAGTACTTGTTGTTCTTTGAATATGAATTTTAAATTTATGTAAAAAAATTTATTAACATACCTTCATTAATAGTGAATTAAGAGATAATAATTCTTAAATTAGAAAACTAATTTAAAGTTACTTTAAAGGATAGACATTAAAAAAATAGTTGATTTAACTACCTATTAATAAGATTAAAATCTCCAAATAAGTTTCCTTGACCGATTAAACTCATTAAAAATTTCTTAAAAGGGATTCAACCATAATTTTCACTTTCAGATTTTGTAAAATTGTGAAGAAAATTTTGGAAGTAGTTGATTTGCGGATTGTATACATTNACACAAAAAAATAATAATATTCAAAAACAAAAATAATAACATTGAATATTAATATTTAGAAAATAACAGTCGCAACATGCTCAACGAAAACAATAACATGAGCAGTAAACATGATATATATAAAAAGAGAGTACTGGTTGTTCTTTGAATATGAATTTTAAATTTATGTAAAAAAATTTATTAACATACCTTCATTAAAAGTGAATTAAGAGATAATAATTCTTAAATTAGAAAACTAATTTAAAGTTATTTTAAAGGATAGACATTAAAAAAATAATTGATTTAACTACTTATTAATAAGATTAAAATCTCCAAATAAGTTTCCTTGACCGATTAAACTCATTAAAAATTTCTTAAAAAGGGTTCAACCATAATTTTCACTTTCAGATTTTGTAAAATTGTGAAGAAAATTTTGGAAGTAGTTGATTTGCGATACACAGAATTCGAGGATTTAATTTTTTGAATTTGTGTCGAATCTGCGAATTTGTGTTTCGCGCGCAAGGAAAGCGCAAATTCGTTGAGATAAAGGCATGAATCGTGTGTGATCCAAGTGGTAATATATAATTTTAAAAAACTTGAGGGCCATAACTTGNTGTGTTTCGCGCGCAAGGAAAGCGCAAATTCGTTGAGATAAAGGCATGAATCGTGTGATCCAAGTGGTAATATATAATTTTAAAAAACTTGAGGGCCATAACTTGGCTCCGCCCGTGATTGCGGAACAACATGGCTATGCAGTACTAGAATGGGGAAGAACTTGCTCAACCTAAAATTTTGATTCGACCCAAATTCTGTTTCTGGGGTCGGATCCTTTACTATCTAGACCCACCAATCTGAATATTACTTGAATTTAAATCATATTAAAATTGTTTTCCCAGGTTTAATCAGTGTACCGGAAATCTCTGTGTCCAAGTACTAAGTATTTCAATCCGGACATGAGTTGGATTGAATTAACACGTCCAAATGACTCGTTTTCTTGAATGAGAGTCCAAACAAGTCGAATTCGAATTGAGTCCGAATATTTACACATAAACTAATCGAGTTTTTATTGGACTTGTTTTTGAAATGAGTCTAAAAAATTGTTTGAGTTTGATTTATTTAGAAAACGAACCGAATTTAAATGAACCAAAAATGGACCACACTGGAGCCAAACTCGAGCAGCTCNATAAACTAATCGAGTTTTTATTGGACTTGTTTTTGAAATGAGTCTAAAAAATTGTTTAAGTTTGATTTATTTAGAAAACGAACCGAATTTAAATGAACCAAAAATGGACCGCACTGGAGCCAAACTCGAGCAGCTGGATTTGATTAATAGTCCTACATAAAAGTTCTTAACTTATTCCCCTCTTTATATAGTCGTCCATTATATCTGTCATCCAATACTGGTATGGTTTTTGCATTTCATTTATCCAGGGTGTGTTCTGAGAGAGGAAGAGAGATATTTTTTAAGATAGCGCAACACTTTTTTTTTTTTTTTTTTTTAAATTTTTGGTTGATCGTGTTGTAAACGTGCAATGCCATAAACAACTAACGAGATTGTTCCACTTAATGGCCATTGAATTCATGTGTATAATGAATCTGATAATCTAAGAACTTGCATTTATTTTGACGAGCCGCCCCACAAGAGAGAAGGATTTTGACCTTGTTTCTAGAAATTGTAGCGAGATTGCTGTATGTTCTACGAAGAAGAAAATTGTATTATGGTTTCATAATAATAGTTACACACTCGTTTTTGCTTGTAGTTACATAAGCATTATAGCAATCACAACTTATTCGTATCTGTGACATCTCTCACACCCAAAAAAAAAAAAAGGAGGCCAAATAGCCCAAAAAAAGTACTGAAGTAGGTTAGGATTTGAAGACCCTCTAGCCTGAGCTCCTAGTTTGGTATAAGTTAAGCAGCAGAAGGTGCAGGGATGTAGCAAATTTCAGACTCAGGAATGGAAGCTATGATCGGAGACCTTGAGCAAGTCTCTCCTTCTGGAACTCTATCTTCTTCAGCCTTGAAATCAAGCGACTCATCGTTGTAAATATCCCACCATTTCTTAACCAACACCTTGATGTCCTCTCTATCCATGTTCACTTCTTTGCCAGTATACCTCCATGGTTTCGATCCCTATTTCAAGGAAACAAAAGCAACATTAATAAGGAAGTAGATTCGGATATTAAACTCGGATTTGTGTAATTGATTTACTATTAAGAACATGAATTTGGAAGGAAGAAAATGCTTACAGCTGCACAGTAGTGCACTACTTTGACTTTCTCGAGCTCGACGTTCTCAGAGTGGCGCCATAGCATGGCTAGAACCAGGTTGTATAGCAGAGGAATTGGTTTGTAAGTTTGCTGGAAGAACATGTTCAAGAAATCCTAGATTGTGCACACAGAAGAAAATAATCAGAGATAATTGGATCCCTTTGCTAAGCTACTGTGAGCAATATTCAGATTTTTTATTAGGTTCACCTTTGCTCAAAGACTCCAGAGTTTTTGGCCTTTTGAATCTGGGATACAATCAACTTTGAGACCTGTCCCACTTTTTCAGTTGGTGCTCTCATTTTTTTTTCAACGGTTAGGAGTGTTCTAAGTTAATTTACGTACATTTGAACTAACTCTTCATTGGTCCGACCAAATGTAGGTTATCCATGCTGAGATCAGGGTATTCATAAGTGATAAATCTTTTATAATCTAGTCCAAATGGTTGCTAAGATTTGAACACAAAATGTCTGAATTTACAATTCATCCCTATTAGCATTTGAATTATCCCTAGAGTTTTATACCATTTTGATGTATCCCTGGACCATACTTTACAATTAGAAAAATATCAACATGGGTCAGATAAATAAGTGTTGTGACAATTTTTCATTAGAAAAAATTGCACCAGATGCCAATCACGTGGTACCATATGAGGTATATCACTCATAAAATATTGTATATTCTCAATTAATTATTGTCACTTGTAAAATTGTCAGATTTTTTAAAACAAAAAAATCAATTTGTTAATCCGACAAGCAAGTGTTGTGACAATTTTTTGTTAGATATAGACACCACATGACACTATCACTTGGTACCTTCTAAGCACTAGAAATTTTCTCTTACAATAATTATGAAATTTTCTCTTACAATAATTATCAGTTTTAAACTAAACACATTATAATAAAATTATGAAAGTTCAAAACTCATACTTTCACATTAATCATAGTAAATGCATTTTATAGACGTAAGGGCCGGCCTAGTTGTCGCCTATCCATCTTATTAATGCAAAGAATTAAAATTTAATAGTGCATAATTCAAGTATAATTAAACAACTCACTTGCTCTGCAAAGGGTGTTGGTGGAGTGATCCGGAGAGTCTGAAGAAGGCTTTCGTAAGTCAAACGGCTAGGCTCATAAACGAACATCCCGGCGTTGAAGTAAAAGGGAGGACGTGAACCCATCTCCGCCGGCCATTTCACCTTGTCGGGGCATTGCTGGCAGTACCCAATAGAGTACTGTGGCGTGTGGCTCCATGTCTTCTCACAAAAACAGTCCATCACAGCATAGAAATACCCGTCTGGCATGTCGAAGAGATGATCGATGTTTTCAAAAACTTGGATGTCTGCATCTAGGTAGACCATTTTGTTATACTCCTCAAACTGCAATTATACATAAGCATATCTGTGTTAAAAATTTGGCAGAACAAGATTTCATGTTGAAGCTTTACACAAAGTGTCGTGCCAAAAGGAGAGGAGGGTTGTATTAGATAGCCGAGGGTTTAGTCATTGCAATATAAACCTCTGCTTAATCGTGTCATGGCATCGAATAGGTCACTATGTGAAATTCTTGAATGTTTTCCGGTTCACGGATAGTGTTTTTTTGAGAGTATATTGCAGGGTGTGGTTGTCAAAGCACATGCATGTGGAGATTGTTTCGGCAAACCTCTAGTAGTGCATATATTCTACCATATTTACCTGAAATTGATGGCTTAAATTTCGGCTTATGTTAATATGTTTACGGGTTTAGACTTGTGCATAATTTTATGTTTCAGCATGTCTTGATCGGGCAACTAAATGCATATAATGAGTTCCACGTGAATTTATTATAGACGTTTTAAATCCTATATTTTGAATATGATGCTTAAGAGAACTAATTAACATATGAGTTCTTCACCCCATGAGGTGAAAATGCATACCAAAGTTTATAAAGAGAAACCCCCAAGGAGTAATCACGAGAATTCTAGTTGTCATTATAAAATGGTATAGATATAAATTAAAGGCACCTATATCTTAGATTATCATAATGCAAAACAGCAGTTATTTAGTCTTTCGTAACATGAGAGTATTCTCTTCCAAACTATAAATCGTTTTATTTTTGCATATTGCTCTTGAGAAGTTGAGAGCTTAACTTGGGAGGCTTTTACCTGACCAACAATAAGAACCAAATGAGTAAGCATGAGAAAGGAGGGCAGATTGAGCTAGAAACTTATGGTATAGTGTGTTGGTTTCACTTACATTCCATATACGGAGCTTGGAGTAGTTGATCACATAGTAGGCCATTGCAAACTGAATTTGGTTCTCCGGTGGGTAGATTGGCTCAATCTCTTCAACTATGCAGCCCTGAGACCTCAAAATTTCCCGGTGCTCCTCCGGCACGTCCGGTAAGATTGCAACCACAAGAGGGTATGCACTCTTCGTCTTTCGCAACCCCTTGGCCAATCCCACCACCCCTTTCACATAGTCTCCATTGCCGGCCAAAAATGTTACATAGGCCCTCTTATAGTAACCGGTGATCGGAACCGACAACTTTCCGGTCCCAGTTAAGACATCAGCCGGTACTCCTGGGCCCATTGTTAAGCTTTCGAGTGATTTAGAGTGAGATTTTAAGGATTGATGTTGAAGAGTGTTGGGAAAGTAAATTGGCAATACACTGCTAATGCCACTCTACTTGTCTTTGTTCCTGAGTTCTACAATGCACTTAGGCAGCTTAAATAGACATGAAATGAAGCTTACATGCACGCCAAATGAAACTCAAATTAAAGCTTCATTGTCTTTTTCATGTTTTTTCTATAATGATTTTTGTGAAAAAGTCCATAGATGTATGTGGAGTAAGGAATGAAGATGATTTTGTTGATCAACCTATACCATCCATCTAGCCTTATCATCAGAATGAACGGCTAAGATTGAGCAAGGTGAGGTCACATTCGATAAGAAACGGACATCATTATAATAATTTTTTTTCAATTTCCTTTTTATTTTTTGGGAAAAAAAAAATTGAATGGACTGGAATGAGAAGGTATTGAGTGGTGTTGTTGTTCTTGTGGAATATTTTAGAATAAACTTAGGACCGTTGAGTTGAGAAGCCGACCGACGTACTAATATTTTTTTTTTTTACGTGAAAGCCATCATAAGCATATATTCTAATTATGCACTATTACGAATAACGTACTGTCCTGTTGCTAGAAGTAAGAAATACAATTTCTCGAATGCGAATTGAGACAGAAAAAGAAAAGAAAGAACCAAACTTCTCAGTTGTTTTATTCAAAAGAATTTGATGTTATTCTTATGTTAGAGCATGTAAAACATAGGAAATCCAGGTTCCAAAAGCTACTCAGAAGAGACTACTTTTTCATTAATGGAGAGAATCTGTTTCTTTATATGCAAATGTAGCAAAAATAGGAAACGTATTGATTTAATGAAGCTAGAAAAGCTTCAGAAACAATGATACCAATAACATAGACTTAAACTTTTGAGATAAGAGGGGATAAATAACTGTATAAATTTAACTAAATGACTTGATTTCATAGTTTCGATCACAAAAAACAATCTATTCACATGTGAGATAAGGCTCTATATATGTAACTATTCTTAAATCTTATACTGACGGAAATCTTGTACACTATCCTACCTTTTATAAAGTAAATACCTGCTTTAGTTCCTTTCTTGTTGATAACATCTTTTCGATATGCTTTTATGGTCAAAGAAGCATCCCTATTAAAAAAAAAAACTACGAATAGTACTAGTTGAAACTTCCACTGCACCAAGAGTAATTCTACGAGAGAAGCATAGGATAAGTTACCGTAATGCTTCTTTATTTCCCCTCTTCCTTTTTTAAAAGCACATAGTAAGATTTGTGTGTTTCACACTGCTCTAAATACTAGTCTCTTTAACTATGAAAGTCACACTAGTCATATATACAAGATCACTTTCATGCAAACTAATGGGTTAATCAATCCATGCAGATTTATTAAATAATCAAATAAGTTTAAGTTTTTTGTTCGGTTGTACAATTCCTTACAATAACAACAGAATAATTGGGTAATCTGCAAAACCAACTTTTTTGGCTTTCAAGGATTGAAACTTCTATATACTCGGGCAATAATACCAAGAAATACCTTCAAAACCTAAAATAATGGGTGTGCCCTATCAAATGGTAATGGGATTTTCTAACATGAATCTTGAAGAATAATCAAATAAACATGACACCGACTGTGCAATAATGCTTCACCACCCATCGAAAAGAGGAAGGGGGAGGGAATTGTTTACAGGTGGAATGCCACTAAGGAACACACCTAAGGTGACACCCATTGTTGGCACTTTCTCTATTCACTTACTGACAATGAAGATAACACAAGATTCTCAAGTCCCTTTAGGTGATGGTAGTGAGAAATGCTTGGGCCAACTAAACTTCTCAAACATGATGCTACTTGGATGAATTTTATTCACCTAATCAAACACGACGATTGGATTGACAGTGAGAGTCGATTTTAATTGGGATTTGTCGTCGATCCAATCCAATAGGTATAAGGGGTCAGGTGGTTTCTTGGTCCTTGGCTTGGGATCGTAACAAGCTTCAAACATCTGGTTGTATAATTCGAGTTGAATGTTAGATTATTCAACTTTTAAAATGTGCATATGAATACGTGGTCGGGTCTATTACTGCGCCAAATACGTGGCATTGCTTCCAACGGAATGTGGCTAACAATTTGTCCAACACATAGTATCAATGATTGAAAAGAAACAAACATATCTCTGTTCAAGACGATTACTATTACCTTCATCATTTTGATGTTCTTTGCTGTGTCCACCTCTGTTGCCTTACCTTTCTTTGGACTCTACTACTCTGTTTGATATGATGAAAAAATTAAGGATAAAAAATTTGAGCGATAAATAAAATATCATGTTTGGTACAGAAAGAAAATAAGAATTATAGAAAAGTGAATGAATTAACTTTTTTTCTAACTCACCAAAATTAATCTCTCCAAAATTAGAAAGAAAATAGATGAAAAATTAATTATTTGTGTTGAGATGTATTTTATTTGTCTATATATCTTTTGATATATACATATATTATGTATATATTAATTTCATATAAAAATACAATGATAAAATATATATTTATGTATATATTTTTTAAAAAAGTTTAAAAATTAAAAATTAAAATTAAAATTTGAAATTAATTTTTTTTTCCATTTTAATTAAAAATCTTGATTTATTTTTTAATTAAAAATGGATCTACACGAATGCAAACACGAACATGACACGAAAATAAATAAGACAACTTGTAACTCAACACGACACAATTAGTTGAATGAGTTGAGTTATGTTTGACTAATGTTTGACATAAACCCGTAATGACTTAACACGAATCTGACACAATTCGACTCGATTGTCACTCTTAATCTTAGTCAGCACCAAAAAAAAAAAAATTTAGTCATTTTATTTTACATCCATCCAATCAAATACAAAGGAATAAAAGTGTGTCATTCATACTTTTCTTCCTTAAAAGATAGAAATTGTAATCCTCCTACTTTTCATTCTCCATATTTTTCATCATTCCTACTAAATAGAGCAAACATGTCTCCTTGCAAACTCTCCTTTTGGACACCTGCATGGCCTTAGATCATTTGTCATATTACCTTTGGACTCGTGACTATTACAAATATTTGGGAGAAACACGCCCACTTGAAATCTTGAGGGATTAATCCCTTATATTTAGGGATGGTTAAGGNAGAGATGATCGATGTTTTCAAAAACTTGGATGTCTGCATCTAGGTAGACCATTTTGCTATACTCCTCAAACTGCAATTATACATAAGCATATCTGTGTTAAAAATTTGGGAGAACAAGATTTCATGTTGTAGCTTTACACAAAGTGTCGTGCCAAAAGGAGAGGAGGGTTGTATTAGATAGCCGAGGGTTTAATCATTGCAATATAAACCTCTGCTTAATCGTGTCATGGCATCGAATAGGTCACTATGTGAAATTCTTGAATGTTTTCCGGTTCACGGATAGTGTTTTTTTGAGAGTATATTGCAGGGTGTGGTTGTCAAAGCACATGCATGTGGAGATTGTTTCGGCAAACCTCTAGTAGTGCATATATTCTACCATATTTACCTGAAATTGATGGCTTAAATTTCGGCTTATGTTAATATGTTTACGGGTTTAGACTTGTGCATAATTTTATGTTTCAGCATGTCTTGATCGGGCAACTAAATGCATATAATGAGTTCCACGTGAATTTATTATAGACGTTTTAAATCCTATATTTTGAATATGATGCTTAAGAGAACTAATTAACATATGAGTTCTTCACCCCATGAGGTGAAAATGCATACCAAAGTTTATAAAGAGAAACCCCCAAGGAGTAATCACGAGAATTCTAGTTGTCATTATAAAATGGTATAGATATAAATTAAAGGCACCTATATCTTAGATTATCATAATGCAAAACAGCAGTTATTTAGTCTTTCGTAACATGAGAGTATTCTCTTCCAAACTATAAATCGTTTTATTTTTGCATATTGCTCTTGAGAAGTTGAGAGCTTAACTTGGGAGGCTTTTACCTGACCAACAATAAGAACCAAATGAGTAAGCATGAGAAAGGAGGGCAGATTGAGCTAGAAACTTATGGTATAGTGTGTTGGTTTCACTTACATTCCATATACGGAGCTTGGAGTAGTTGATCACATAGTAGGCCATTGCAAACTGAATTTGGTTCTCCGGTGGGTAGATTGGCTCAATCTCTTCAACTATGCATCCCTGAGACCTCAAAATTTCCCGGTGCTCCTCCGGCACGTCCGGTAAGATTGCAACCACAAGAGGGTATGCACTCTTCGTCTTTCGCAACCCCTTGGCCAATCCCACCACCCCTTTCACATAGTCTCCATTGCCGGCCAAAAATGTTACATAGGCCCTCTTATAGTAACCGGTGATCGGAACCGACAACTTTCCGGTCCCAGTTAAGACATCAGCCGGTACTCCTGGGCCCATTGTTAAGCTTTCGAGTGATTTAGAGTGAGATTTTAAGGATTGATGTTGAAGAGTGTTGGGAAAGTAAATTGGCAATACACTGCTAATGCCACTCTACTTGTCTTTGTTCCTGAGTTCTACAATGCACTTAGGCAGCTTAAATAGACATGAAATGAAGCTTACATGCACGCCAAATGAAACTCAAATTAAAGCTTCATTGTCTTTTTCATGTTTTTTCTATAATGATTTTTGTGAAAAAGTCCATAGATGTATGTGGAGTAAGGAATGAAGATGATTTTGTTGATCAACCTATACCATCCATCTAGCCTTATCATCAGAATGAACGGCTAAGATTGAGCAAGGTGAGGTCACATTCGATAAGAAACGGACATCATTATAATAATTTTTTTTCAATTTCCTTTTTATTTTTTGGGAAAAAATAAATTGAATGGACTGAAATGAGAAGGTATTGGGTGGTGTTGTTGTTCTTGTGGAATATTTTAGAATAAACTTAGGACCGTTGAGTTGAGAAGCCGACCGACATACTAATATTTTTTTTTTTTACGTGAAAGCCGTCATAAGCATATATTCTAATTATGCACTATTACGAATAACGTACTGTCCTGTTGCTAGAAGTAAGAAATACAATTTCTCGAATGCGAATTGAGACAGAAAAAGAAAAGAAAGAACCAAACTTCTCAGTTGTTTTATTCAAAAGAATTTGATGTTATTCTTATGTTAGAGCATGTAAAACATAGGAAATCCAGGTTCCAAAAGCTACTCAGAAGAGACTACTTTTTCATTAATGGAGAGAATCTGTTTCTTTATATGCAAATGTAGCAAAAATAGGAAACGTATTGATTTAATGAAGCTAGAAAAGCTTCAGAAACAATGATACCAATAACATAGACTTAAACTTTTGAGAGAAGACGGGATAAATAACTGTATAAATTTAACTAAATGACTTGATTTCATAGTTTCGATCACAAAAAACAATCTATTCACATGTGAGATAAGACTCTATATATGTAACTATTCTTAAATCTTATACGGACGGAAATCTCGTATACTATCCTGCTTTTTATAAAGCAAATACCTGCTTTAGTTTCTTTCTTGTTTATAACATCTTTTCGATATGCTTTTATGGTCAAAGAAGCATCCCTATTAAAAAAAAAACTACGAATAGTACTAGTTGAAACTTCCACTGCACCAAGAGTAATTCTACGAGAGAAGCATAGGATAAGTTACCGTAATGCTTCTTTATTTCCCCTCTTCCTTTTTTAAAAGCACATAGTAAGATTTGTGTGTTATACAAGATCACTTTCATGCAAACTAATGGGTTAATCAATCCATGCAGATTTATTAAATAATCAAATAAGTTTAAGTTTTTTGTTCGGTTGTACAATTCCTTACAATAACAACAGAATAATTGGGTAATCTGCAAAACCAACTTTTTTGGCTTTCAAGGATTGAAACTTCTATATACTCGGGCAATAATACCAAGAAATACCTTCAAAACCTAAAATAATGGGTGTGCCCTATCAAATGGTAATGGGATTTTCTAACATGAATCTTGAAGAATAATCAAATAAACATGACACCGACTGTGCAATAATGCTTCACCACCCATCGAAAAGAGGAAGGGGGAGGGAATTGTTTACAGGTGGAATGCCACTAAGGAACACACCTAAGGTGACACCCATTGTTGGCACTTTCTCTATTCACTTACTGACAATGAAGATAACACAAGATTCTCAAGTCCCTTTAGGTGATGGTAGTGAGAAATGCTTGGGCCAACTAAACTTCTCAAACTTGATGCTACTTGGATGAATTTTATTCACCTAATCAAACACGACGATTGGATTGACAGTGAGACTCGATTTTAATTGGGATTTGTCGTCGATCCAATCCAATAGGTATAAGGGGTCAGGTGGTTTCTTGGTCCTTGGCTTGGGATCGTAACAAGCTTCAAACATCTGGTTGTATAATTCGAGTTGAATGTTAGATTATTCAACTTTTAAAATGTGCATATGAATACGTGGTCGGGTCTATTACTGCGCCAAATACGTGGCATTGCTTCCAACGGAATGTGGCTAACAATTTGTCCAACACATAGTATCAATGATTGAAAAGAAACAAACATATCTCTGTTCAAGACGATTACTATTACCTTCATCATTTTGATGTTCTTTGCTGTGTCCACCTCTCTTGCCTTACCTTTCTTTGGACTCTACTACTCTGTTTGATATGATGAAAAAATTAAGGATAAAAAATTTGAGCGATAAATAAAATATCATGTTTGGTACAGAAAGAAAATAAGAATTATAGAAAAGTGAATGAATTAACTTTTTTTCTAACTCACCAAAATTAATCTCTCCAAAATTAGAAAGAAAATAGATGAAAAATTAATTATTTGTGTTGAGATGTATTTTATTTGTCTATATATCTTTTGATATATACATATATTATGTATATATTAATTTCATATAAAAATACAATGATAAAATATATATTTATGTATATATTTTTTAAAAAAGTTTAAAAATTAAAAATTAAAATTAAAATTTGAAATTAATTTTTTTTTCCATTTTAATTAAAAATCTTGATTTATTTTTTAATTAAAAATGGATCTACACGAATGCAAACACGAACATGACACGAAAATAAATAAGACAACTTGTAACTCAACACGACACAATTAGTTGAATGAGTTGAGTTATGTTTGACTATTGTTTGACATAAACCCGTAATGACTTAACACGAATCTGACACAATTCGACTCGATTGTCACTCTTAATCTTAGTCAGCACCAAAAAAAAAAAAATTTAGTCATTTTATTTTACATCCATCCAATCAAATACAAAGGAAGGAAAGTGTCATTCATACTTTTCTTCCTTGAAAGATAGAAATTGTAATCTTTCTACTTTTCATTCTCCATATTTTTCATCATTCCTACTAAATAGAGCAAACATGTCTCCTTACAAACTCTCCTTTTGGACACCTGCATGGCCTTAGATCATTTGTCATATTACCTTTGGACTCGTGACTATTACATATACTTGGGAGAAGCACGCCCACTTGAAATCTTGAGGGATTAATCCCTTATATTTAGGGATGGTTAAGGCTATATTATTGTTTCCAATGATAAAGCAGATCAGATTTTTTAGAATTGAGTAAGCAAAAGTATCCAAGATAAATAATAAAACATCTTTAAAGAAACAAAAGTCTAGCAATCAAATTGTGTATCTTTGATTAAAAAAAAAAATCTAGCCCAACTTGTGTAAGATCTTCATTCCCCTACTTTATTTGCAAATGAAAAATGGACATCAACTTTTACCTACCAAAGATATAAAGCAAATATCAGTTCATATCCTATTGGATTAGCATAAATTAATGACATTCTACAAGCATTAAAAGGATAAACATGAACCTGATGTCGGTTAAACAGGTATAAAGTTTAATGGGAAAAGAGTTAGCAGAGACCCACTATAAAGTTTAGGAGACCCAGTGCACTTACGTCGAGCTGAAGCTAAAGTTTCACTGTATGTTTCGGGTGTTGCACAGTAGGTTTAATTCTACTAAGCTGTTGTAATTATAGAGATTCATACTCAAGTATTGAGTGAAACAATTCAGATTCTTATCTATTGGACCAACAACTCAGTAATTTATCTCCCTATAATTTTGTCCCTTGTGAAAGAGACCATCTATCTATGGGCTAAAATGTAGTTCAAAAAAAAAAATATCTATGGGCCAAAAGTTGCAAAGGCTGCTCAGGGGACCCTACAATCTGTAGCCTTGTAGGTTCAATCTTGGGGATCGTTGGTCCCCTTTTGCCTGATTTTATGGAGTAGTTTAACATACATTCATGAAACATTCTCTAAAGAAAGATTGTAATATGTCGTGGTGCCACTTTTGGACATAGTTAAGGTCAATCAAGGTATCAGGACAAAGACAAACTACTTCTAGATATGATTTATCTGTATATTTGTAAGCATATAATTTGTGTTTTTACAAAAATGGAAAGGAGTTGCAGCGACTTGAAGTGTTTATCTCTCTAAACATAATTTTATTGATTCGAGTAAGAGATTGATGCAATTAATAAGGCATGGAAACACATTGGATGAAGCACATCAGCAAAACCAAACACTGCCCACGGGGTCTCAGTCTTCGGCTTGAAATTTACTCCAATACCCTTTCACTTAATTTCACTCAAAAGCAGTCACTCATCATGAAAAAATGAAAAACGTGGGTCTTCTAACCATACCTGGTGAATGACCTACCTTTCATAGAAATATTAAAAAGTGCATCCGAGGGGATATAGATACAGAGTCTTCCTATATTATTTGGGATCTTGTACATAATAAGTTATAAAATACGACGATTTCTTGGTGTACCTTTCGCTAATATTTTTATGGGTGAAATTAGTCTTGTGTCATTGTTTATGGACTTCAGTATTTTTATCTTTGATTTGCCGGCCTTAGAGAAGTTATATCAAATGTTTCTTCTATGCACCCTTCTTTGCATAGCCATTGAGAATTGCTATTTGAAAAAGATGAACTGCATCATCAACTTTGTTGTTGCACGAACCTTGCACTAGAAACTACAAATAACTATTTGGAAGCCAGATTATAGGATGATTAGACCATTCCACCCTAGAAGAAACACAAAGAGGCATACCCATAAGCTTAAAGCTGAGTATGGATTGATGCACATAATGCTCCTTTGATTCAAGTATTTTATTCAGGGCATGCCCTTCTTTACATGGGCAACAGAACTTGCTACTTAAAAAAAGTTGAATTCCACCGTCTGCTTTGTTGCAGAAGGAAGAGGATTGCACTACAAGTACTACCTTTAGTGAGGCAAATTTGAACATGATTAGCTCCTTCATCACCGGGAGGGGCACGTTTTGTTATATTCAAAGCTGGCTACAGAAATCTTAACCTTGTGATGGATTGATATACTAGTACAAAAGCAACCATTACCTTGCTTTGTGCACACTTCTCTTGCCCGGAGTGGTGTGTCCGGGAAAAGCAAGTGCTGAACCACCTTAGTTTTATTTATTTTGCCGAGGTCGATGATCGGGCTCAGACCACTAATGTATTAGTTAAAACGAATATGCACTTGTTTATTTCATGTCATAGCAGATATTTTTCACCGTTGGATTGAATTGGATTGGATGTAAGTTAAATCAATCTTACTCACTCTTGTGCTAGACTAAGTTTGAGGATTCAAAATAAGTAGTATTTTATTACGGAGATGGACAGATATACACTTTGCTTAGCAAATCTATGTCGTTTCGAACCTAAGAGATTCCAAGCCTTTCGGGCATGCGATCAATATTGGTGGTCATACGAAGTGGCAAGTCCTTGAAAATCTCTCGAAGGCACTGAGAGCCA